AAGTGAAATAGTGGAATAGAGCAATAAGAGTCTATATTCAAGTGATTGAATATGTTATATTAGATAAATAATTTCTAAATTGCAGCCAGATTAATGTTGTGGATGTTGTTTCAAAAGTCAGCTCAAAAACATCAGCCTACATTTGTCATATTCAGTGTGTCCTCGAGTGTTTGTCTCAGTTATTGTCACAGAGACAACTTATTTCTTATCCCATGACCCATCCATTCATATTTGAGGCCAAAGACCACAGACCAAAAACAGAGACAACTGAGCTACTGCCATGGCAACGGAGCAAACTCTATCAGCTGATGAAGAGTTGTTGTTAAAAGCTCTGGAAAAAGCTTGTAAGTGGACATTGAGTTAGGGTTTTTTGTCAAACAGTTTCCAAATGACCTCGGACATCGCTAACTTGCTTCGTACTTGTTGTAATTATTGGCCAATGTGTAAACCAATACAAATATATTTGGGTTGATAACAAATATTTGACAGAAACATTTTAATTCCTGATGGGATCATTTCAAAATAAGTCACTTCCATGAATGTAACATTCCTTGGAGAGACATGCCGATGTAGAAACACTGCTACAACACATTCACACAAAAACACACAGACACACACACCTGGTGTTTTTCCAGGACAGACAGGAAGGTAGAGAAGTTCTTTCCATCACTTTTTTTTGGAATTCCAAATACCAAATTCCACCCAGGGGAAAGAGAATATGTACTGACCACACGGCAAAAAAAAGTGTTTTGTTTTCTTTCATTAAAACAAGCAAAAATATCCATCAAGGCAGTTTAAGTTGACTCTCAACTGAGAGAACAAGTGACAAACATCTGGAAACAGATGGGTTGATTTAAGTCTAAAATACTGTCTATTGCTTTAAGAAAAATGTAAATAAGCCAAATGAATGAGAACTTAGAGGGTGGGGTCTATTTTATCTAGCCTTTCCAAAAATATAAACACATAAGCAAAAGTGAATGAAATGGACCAAACCTTTTTTTATGCTCTAATGTTAGCTTCAATCATTAGCATGTACAGCTTACAAGCTTAATACCTAAAACAGCACTAACCACATACGTGTGTAGGGGTTTAGGCTAAAAAGTGTGGAAGTTGCTCCCTGAAACTTTATTTGATTTATATCAAACAGCATGTTACTGATCTTGCATTTTCCTTAATACCCATTTATTATAGGATACACAAACTACCTAGCTACAAAAAAAAATAACAACTCTACACCAATCACCATGGGATGAAGATTCTAACTTTTTGCCTTGAAAAATGTAGCTTCAGCCTCAGACTTTTTACATTAAACCAAGTATAGGAATCAAATGTGTTTAAAACCCCTCTAAGTATGTTCAGTTCCAAACATTTATTGAGTCAGTCGAAGACTGGGTGTTTCTCAATGTCGAGGAAGGCTGCTCCAGAGCCACTATTTCAAGGATGCTACGTCATCAAGTCCCGCCGAAGGACTGTTCCAATGTCCAGGATGCTTGGAATTCTATCGAGGCCGGCGTCCTTCGTTGCAGGAAATTTCGAGGCTGCACATGTGTATCCTCCGCGGTCTTAAAATCCCCACAATGCTTTGCGCACGGACCAATTTCCAAATCTTTGGCGGAAATCGCGCTCCATTACGCACACCTGCTAGCCTGTTCCACAATTCTTCGTTTTCCGAGGCTAGGAAGGATTCTTGCCTCGCTTCTGAAGGACCTGACTCGGAGGGACTTGTCCTACCAAGGAAGCGTCCTCGACATTGAGAAACACCCACTGTGTTTTCAGTCTTATCTAAATATGCAGCTGAAGTTAGCTCCATTAGCTAGCTATCTAAGCTAATCTGCTAGCGACTAGAACATGTACGATTGCCAGCTAGAAACGAAAACATGCTTTTGTCTACCTCTGACTAAAATGATCAAGAACCAACTTTCTCAAATAACTTGGAATTTTAACTGATAAACCTGCCATTATTATAACTGTAAACTGCATGTGTGAGATAAAAGGGAACAGTAACGAGAGAAGGGCCAACAGTCTATTTGGATATTTGCCTAAAAAAGTCATAATGTTTAACAACTTCTATGTGGGTGGGAAATGTACAACTACTCCTACTCACACTCAAAGAAAATAGAAATGGTCGCAAAATCTACTTGTATCCAGAATTAAGTTGAATAAAACACATGTTAGAATAAGATTTTTTATTTTAAGAGTGTAAGGCCTAATTGGATCAAGTAAAGCATTTAGTGAGTGCAGAAGTAAAATCAAAACAATAAAGGAACAGAAAGAGAAAGACATCACCAAGTGTACAATTTAAATCGGATAGAAGGAGAAAAGCAGAGAAAGACAAAACTTTGGACACAGCTTTGTTAAAGAAGGTGGGGCATTGCAAGGCCCACTGGAGAATACTGGGGAATTATGTTTGCTTGCGCTACATTACATTGGCTCTGCAGACTTCATGGGAACGAACCAACATTTGTCAAAAAAGGGGAAATAAAGCAGGTATCTGCAGAGAAAAGTGTTTCACATGGAATGAAAAACAAATATTTGAACAGATGGAGACTTTTTCATGATTCTGTGGTACCACAGCTTCATAAGCATAACACAAAATGCCTCATTTGGATTTTACCCTTCAACAACTTGCAAAAATATGCAGCTGAAAAGAAAGAGATACAGGAAAGGGAGAGACAGACAGACAGAGGAGGGAGGGAAGAAGAGAGGAAGTGAGATAGAGGGGAAGATTTGGTATGTAGACAACTGCTGTGTAAGGAAATAAACAGAGCCATACTGGACACAGACACACATTATTCCTGTTTCCACCATGCACCTACACACTGTACATCAATGTTTACGTTTGTATCTGCGTCAATGTGTGTGGGTCTGTGTGTGTGTATGTGTGTTTTTTCTGGAGGTTTGAAGCGTTTCCAGCGGCAACACCCAGCTAGTCAACATGCGGTCAGCAGGCACCCCTCACCCCCCCCCCCCCCCCCCCTTCTCTCTCCAAACACCAACAACCTCATCACACACTGGCCCAGAGTCAAGCAAATAAACTGCAGTGCAGAGCGCTGGGGAGGCATGAGGCTGCAGTGAACCTCACAGACCTCACTCGTGCACAGAAAACAAGTGAAATATGCATAATCCAATTTTATTTTTGTATTTTTCAAAGTGTTATCTGTAGGTCTTTGTTTGTTTACGTGTTTTTTTGATGATGTTAGGGGTGTTTGTGAACAGCAGTCTGTGGTGTTATCACATAGCAACAACAACAATTTGATGTCATCAGTAAGAAGTGACACAAAAGCAAAATGTCTAGAAGTTGAAAACCCATATAAAATCTGTTTTTTTATACCTCCATTTCCCTATGACGTAGAAATATAAGCCTACAAATAAATCTTCTCACTCATGATATCACATTGTGCCTCACTGAAGTTTCTATTTTTACTTTAATTTAAAATAATTACTTCTATTACTGGTTAATACTACTATATTTGGAAAAACAAGATTTTCACTTGACAGAAGAATGGTATCACTTTATATAATGTTAATTATTGATCAATGTTGCAATCAGCTGTGGCCCTGCAACCTGTCAGCATTCCCTTTGCTGAGTCTCTGATCCTGCTGAGAGGCAGAGGAGGATCTGTGAGGCTGGAAGAGAGCCAAGTGACTTCCTGTGGCAGCAGGGGGCTCTGCAGGCGAGGAGCATTATTCAACATCTATTGAGCTTAGCAAAATGGTTCACATGCCCTTCCCAGATATACTACTTAATGACAAACGACACACACACAATCACACATGGGTTCTACATGACTTATTATAGGTAGGGAATTCAAGTTTGAAAATGTGTAGACACATCAATTCCCTGCAGGGTTTCCTCTTGCCACAGCAGGGCCCTGGTGTGTGAGTTGTTTAATGTTTTCGAGGCCAGTGTTGAATGAGGAGAGTGGACACAGAGGGGTTAAAAAGGGTCGGGGGGGGAGTAGTGTGAGGAATGTGATACCAAGGGCCAAGAGGGATGATGAGGGACACTTACAGGAATCTCTCAATTTCCCGTTGAGAGGGGTTTTAAGAGTCAGAATTATCACAAAGCGCGGCGCTCACCCTCCTCTAACCCTGGTTTCTTCACTTTCACTGTCCACTCATGCCAAAACAATCCACCGGATCACACCTGGTAGGGCTTTGGGTTCATTACAAGCCAAACAAACAGCTAATGATGATAATCTTCTCCCTGTTTCCCATTTATTACAGACAAAAAGTGGTGTGTCTGCCAGAAAGGTATCGGTTTGTTTTGAAAAGGAAAGCTCTATCAAACACTGGAGTATAGGAAACATTGCTGGAGATTTATTGAAATAATAATGCAATAGGTTATTTCTTTAAGACCACACTGTTGCTGTTCATTCTGTATGTTTTATCAGAGCCTGTTTGTGTTTCTACATGCCACATAGACTTCAGATGTTTAAGAATGCTTGTGGTGAAGCGCAGCGGAGCAATCCTCCTGCATTCATGCTGGGCTGCAGACGTGAACAGAATACTAAGGGACCGGAATGACAAGCTGGATGCTCTGAGGAATGCTGAGGCCTTGCCAAGCCAACGGCAAAGCTCCGACTGCCACTCTGGAGAGCAAAGCTTTAAACACCACAGAACAGCCTGCAGAAAAGGTTGCTTCACCTGCAACATCCTGTTCACACTGGCTTCAGATCCAGTCCTGGGTCACATCAGTTCATTTATAAAGCAATCAATGCAACTGAACTACAAAAGCTAATGAAATGTGCAGACGGACACACAACGAATCATCAACATGCATCAATTTCACTCGTAAGGAGTGAGAATACATTAGACTAATGGACTGTCAATCCTAATTTCCCCCCTTTATTTGGAAGCTACTGAATAATAGCCGAGAGTTAATGGTTTCTGTGCTGCTGATATTGCAACACCTGATGTCCCAGAGCAGAGTGTGTCTCAAACGCATCAGTGATAAAAAAAAAAAAAGAGAGAAAAGTAAACCGTTTTTTTACACTTACCACGGCTGCCATTGTCTTCATCCTGTAAGCAAAGAGAAAGTCAGTAAATATTGATTTGTAATTCAAATTGCATTCACAAGTTTCATTTTTAGTATTCTGGTACATCATCTTACTTCAAATGTGTCTTCATTCCCAAATCCTTTTTCATTAACAAATCAACTTCAATCAACCTTGGATCTAGAAAAACGGCACTAATTTGCAGCCTGAAATGTGATTTCCATTTTTGTTTGTTTACATCCCTGTAAATGTTTTATAAATGTAATATCAAGTTGAGTGTTCAGGCCTAGACAGACAAATCCCCTTTGACTAAAACTCTTTTAATTTGCATATTATTGTTTGTTTCATGAAAAAAAAAGCACTTTTTTAGGCCAATTTCTACACTTATCACCTAGTAAGCTTATCTGCCAAGCACTGAACAGCAGAAAAAGTTAGCGATTTGCTGGAAAACCTAGTGTAATAATAATAATGAGATTTTTTTTCCAAAAACCAGAGCCAAAAAATATTGAATATTGGGCACAAACTGTCGACTTTCTGTTGGTGGCAAAAATGGTTTTGTTATCGAGGTTTTAAAGATCTTTTGCCATTTTATAGACTGAACAACTAATAGATAATCAAACTAATAGTTGGTCACAACCATAAAAGGAGATGACCCACAGAGAAAAAGTGTTCATTATCATGGAACAGATCTACATAATTAAAGCTGTTGTGGCAAACAACACACGAGGTGACAAGCCTTGTGGCTATCGCAAGCAATCAAAAAGCCACTTCAAAGCCTTGTTGGTTTGTTTTCCATTTCCTCAACGCATAAAACCTTAGTTTCCTTCTGAGTCCCAGTGAAAATCCACACACTCCTGCTTTAATCCATCTCCCCTCAGTGACACATATGTTCTCCATGTATCCTTAAAGGCTCCCAGCTCTCACAAGGCTTTCCTTAAGACGATCTGACCCTCTTGAAGCTAACCCCAATATCCTCAAACTGTGATTAATCAAGCGCTCCAACCCAAGACGCTGAAAGTAATTACAATGAAATGTGATGAATTTACAAGGAGTTTTTCTTTACCCTCCCCCGGTTAGGGTTACGTAATGCAAGTAACGCTTGTGGCTGTACAGTGAGTGTGACCTGACGGATTGAAATGTAAAGCTTCAGTTTGAACATTTCCCAGAATCATGTCTTACGATAAGAAGGCCAGAGCAGACTCAAGGAGACTGCAGGAGACTAGGGTATAACTTAAGATGGTACATATGATGTCACAGTAAACATATTGCCACCTGTAAAGATTTGGAAATCCCATGTCTACCACTGTGGCGTCTTGTGGTTATTGCGTGATATTGCTTTATTGAACGTAGCAATTGCAAGGTAATTTTTTTTTAAAGACACAGAGAAGAGATTAGAGTGAAGCTGTAAATACAGAGCAGGAGAATAATTAGGAAGAACCATTACTCTCCAGAGTTCTACAATTAATTGAATGCCTTCATTTGCCTTGTATGCATCTTAGACCACTGCATGAGAAATGTCTAGTTTTTCAGATAACAAACCAGATGTGTTGGACTTTAGAGGAGGCAGAAACAACATTGTGATACCCAAGAAGTCTTCTGGGACGAACTGTATATCTTTCTGGTTACACAAATGTCTGACAATCCTAATTGTCATGCCACAGTTTCTTTTTCAACGTGCAGAAGCTAAGCCAAAAGCTATAAACAGAAGGAACTATGCTAACTTTGTAGGAAATCCTTCTGTGCAAACTGAAGAGGTTGTCAAAATACACTTCAGTGAAAAGTAAACGCAACTCATCCAGAATGATCACTAACAAAACCTAATCGTCAGGAGGATAAGCGCTGAGAAAGCTGACGAGCGTCTTTTGCTCTTGGAGAAGCCCTTGAGTGTGTTTTACACTGTGCCCATTAGGACCAGGAAGTGGTGTTACGTAAAGATTAATACCAAAGGCTAGATTGGCACGGATGTTATCCAGAGAATGGCTGGCAGACTTCCAAGGTGGGATGATAGAAGTCAGGGACGCTTGCTACATGCCCGACATAACATTTAAACATTGAAACAATGTTCCAGTCGAACAGGTTGAGTGCTAATGAGGTATGTACTATAGATAGCATTGAAATAACCTAAGCTTTTTTCCGTTTTTCCGTGACTACATTAAATATCAAAGATCTAAGTATGCAGACGAGGAGACACAGAGAGTCTCTTGTTTCGGTGTAACTTCCATTGAGGATTTCATAAAAATAAGCATTTGGTGCATTTAAGTCCCGCCTAAAGACCCACCTCTTTTCCATCGCTTTCGAGTCAGTCTGAGCTATGCTTTATTGTCTGTCCATAGCCTTCATGTGTGCCTTGTATCTATTCTTATGTGTGCCTTTTATCTATTCTTTTAATATTATATTTTGTTTTAATGTTATGTTTGTTGTGAAGCACAAACCCTCTGTTTTTACTGAGCTCAAGATTGCAACTGATAGATGGGATAACGTTTTTTTGTTTGTTTATTTAGTTGCTGGTGTCATCAGAAGGGTAAGGGATAACATTCAGTCACCTTCAGAGAGTTGTGGACAGCAGACTCAGGCGGGTAGACGATGAAGTGTCGCAGTGTGAAGCCGAAGCCCTGAGAGGTTCGCCGCAGGTGAAGAGTTTTGGGCCCCGGCCAGGAGAAAGGCTCCTCCTCTGCCCCGGGAGAAGCCAGGGCCGACGCCTCGCTCTGATCGCGCCCATCCTTCTGCTTGGCCTGAAATGAGGACAAACAATCGTACATTAAAGTCAATCTTCCGAATATTTACTGTGTGTATTACAACCTTTCCTGTGGTGTTGACACAGATAGAAACTGGAAAGTAGAAGAGCATTTTCTTGCTGAGAGTTGAATAAGAAGATTGATATCACTCTCATATCTGTACGGTAAACACATTATTCACAAAGAAGCCAGTTAGCTTAGCTTAGCATAAAGACAGAAAACAGGACAGCAGGTTTTTCCAGATTCCCCGCACGTCCAGTCTTTAAATTAATTAGATTAAAGCAACACATTTAAAAGAAGTGGCTTTCAAACTTGTTTACTTCTGACTTTTTTAAAGTTTGACAAACTCAGCATTAAAACAAACTCACAAAAAAGCTCACAAACTCACAAAAAAGTACCGTTCACTCTATTAATTTCAGCCCTGGTATTTGTGTAAAGGAAATACGTTTTGATAAAACAATGGGAAAGAAAATGGTGGCTTGACAGATGCAATAACCCACGGCTAGGCATAGATGTTATTAATCAACTTGATTTAAAAACACATGAAATCCCCTAGTAGAGAATATTCAAGTTTCCCAGGATTCATTGGAAGACCTGCTTGGCTAAAAAAGTACAAATACAATAAAATCAGCATGGATGCTGTCTACTTTCCATGTACCGATCCAATTTCTAGTGTTCAATGTATAAGCTGTAGCATTTCTGTGAGAAGAGTTGAAGAACCTTCTTCTTTTATGAGGAAACATCACTGGCTTGACTTATTGCTTTCATAACTTTGTAAAACGACATCTAACATATGAATAAATCGATTTAAATGTCCTGAATAGTTTTTTATTAATATAATTGGATCCGAAACCACTTCCGCCCAAAGTCACAAATACCTAATACAGCTATATCAGCCGCTAGGTTGTGTTTAATATATTTAGATAGTGATATTGTTGCCAAGCCCTTCACAGAGCTCCAATACTCTGTAATGGCAGTTAAACAAAAAAGGTCCCAAATACCAGCAAATTGATCTCCTCTACTTCTGCTACTATCTGTCTAAATGGTGAGAATAGATACCACATTCACTAGAAGCTGTTGATTAAGCCATCAAATCAGTTTCGGCTTGCAATTCACTCAGTACACCATGTATCCTCAGATGAAAACTGTTACGATGTCAGTGACAGAGGCCAAAAATACAGTCAAATAGTTTCGTTCCCAAGTTGTGGTTCTTGTCAGTGATCACCATATCTGTCAAAACAATCAGGATTGTCATTCAAGCCACTTGTGTACTGCCAAAAGCTCCATACAACCGTACACATGGCTTCGGTTATTGCGCATTTGGGGCTTCGCAGGACTATTTGGCGTGTTTGCATGATGACAGACTTATCTTCTACATTCCTGCTGTGACTAACACGGGATGAAAACAACCCATAAATGCTGGCAGCTCGCAGCTTGCGTAACATTACTTGTATGCCCCTTTAACTAAACACATGCTACACATCAGCAGCAATAATCAGATTTTAAATGTTCTATTACAAATAGTGTTTATGCTGACTGTCTCAAATGGCAACTGTAGCTAAGCTGAACATACAGTGACTCACATTCATGACTCTTTTCCTGAAGATGATGTTACAAAGCACACAGAAATGCAAGAACACACACACACGCATAGAGTAAATGGGTATGGGTGGTCACATAAGATATACTAACTTAGATAATGCAGTGTGATAAAGGGCTTAATAGCATTACTTAGTGCTGCAATTGTTGTATTATTAAGCATCAGGAAAATATTCAGTAGATTAATTGAATAATCACTTTGTTCCAATTTATTGTCGACCATTATTTCACGGTCGACATCTTCAAATATCTTTTTTTATCTGACTACCAGACTAAAATCCCAAAGATATTTTATTTTATTATTATATAAAACTAACTCACACTGAAAGTAATCACATTCTGGACCAAAACAAAAATGCAAGTTAATGTTTATTATTTGTACGATCAATTTTCTTTTGATTGAATAATAGATAGAATTTCTAATTATCTTATCATTCCGTAGAAAAGTATATTAGAAATCAACAATTCTAAAGAATACAATGCGAATATATCCATCGAGATAGAAGAAAATTAGGGATGCTCCGATCGCCAATTTTGGGGCCGATCGCCGATCGCCGATCGCCGGAATCAGTATCTGCCGATACCGATCGCCGATCCGATCGAGTGGGCGGGGCCTAAATGGAAGATTTAAACATCACTTTAAATCTTCCATTTAAAGTGATGTTTAAAACTCAGTTAATGGGGCTCATTCACTGGAGCTTCCACAAACAACAATCAACTTAATTATTACATTCAAATTATGTATATTATTCAAGTTTACATTCACTTTGGATAATACCACGGGAGAAATTAGCAAGCGCTCTCTTTTCCTCTCTCTCCCCCTCTCTCTCCCCCTCTCTCCCTCTCCTGACAGCCCGTCAGTATCGTCTCATGCAGCTCGCTGATCCAGTAATGTGTGAGGCCGACAGTGAAGAATAAACATATTTATAACTAGTTTAGCTTGTTCCAGAGGTAGATAAAATAGCTAAGTGTGTAGGTCTAACTCTTGTGTGTTTCGCTCCGCTCACACCGCCCATCACAGCGGGTGGAGCTGCAGGATTTCTGCTTCACACACACGTTGCATACCGCTATTTTACTGTCTTTTTCGGACACCTTAAAATAATGCCAGACCGGTGAAGCCATTTTGGCGAGCTTGTTTTGCCGCGTACAGAGAAAAGTGTCATGTATTTTACGTCATGCGATCGGCCCTCACGATCGGCATGTTTAGAGAGCACCGATCGATCGGTAGAGAGTGAGTATCGGCAGATTTCGATCGGTGACCGATCGATCGGAGCATCCCTAAAGAAAATCAATTGCTTACGAGAAACGTATTCAGCAACTACTTTTCAATTAAATACATTTAACTGAATATGTCACAATGTGCTCTGGGAAATTGTGTTTTTTTGTTATTTTGTGAAGATAACTGAAAGTGAAATATTTGATACTATCAGCCCTACAAACAATGATTTCCTTAATGAGTTTTTCTTGGTCTTGAGTCAAAGAATGTCAAGTGTTGCAATAGTCCAAGCATACAAAACATTAATGGCACTCTCAGAACTGTAATTATCCAGAACTTCAACGCTATTTGAATAACTTGATAACCCAGATACAGCAAGATATTCTAATCTCTTCATCACTATGGCTCTATATTGTGCCATCACTGAGAAACCCTGTGACCTCTCATGCTGCTGCGAGCAGTCTGAGCAGCGAGACTTCTGTCACATCCATCACCAAAGTAATGACAGAGCTGAACCACTGCACCACGGGGCGTGTGTTAGCGGTTATTGGGAACACCACCATAGCGACTCGGGGCTACGAAGGCCTGCCAAGAGTTTCAGCCTCAACCCAGAACCCCTCCGCGGGCTCTTCTCCTACCAAAATACATCTTAGGTGTGGATCCAAAACAAAGACATTCTCCCCCAACACCCCTCGGGCTTCTCTATCCACACCTTTCCCCGGCCTTGTCTGGGAGCAGCAGATGTAGAGGCCTCCAGAGAGTGGGATGGGTTTGGGCTTAATGGTATGACTGGTGAAATCACCACCAATACCCAGTGGTGTGGAGCTGGAAGTGGAGGGAGAGAGCTGACAGTCCGACTCAGCTGTTTGTTTTGATTCCTGGCTTAAATTTGAATGTCGTATTATGCAATAGCTAAGCCATTTGGCTCCGATGCCCCATGGAACAGGTACACACGCACACACATTTTCCATATCCCTCTTAATATAATATGCTGAATAACACAGCAAGAGAAGCATTGCACAGTGTGAAGGGAAACGACATAGTGCCTGAGTGAAAGGCTGTCATTCAAAAGGTTCAATACTGTAAATCTGCTCCAAACAAGCATACACAATCACCTGACAAATCAATTATGCATGCAGTCTGACCATAAAAGCAGTCTCCGTGATGATGGTTTGATCTGCATGCTGCCATATGGTGCTTTGGCCTGCGGGATAGTGCATTTGCATGCCTGTTTCTTTATGTACATGAGATGAGTGAATTTGCATTGTGTTGCTTGTGGACTCAGATTTCCTCCACACTATTTTTTCCTCTTTGTTGTGTGTGTGAGTCACCCCCGGGTTGTCTGACATCATGGATCTACCTCTTTCCCTGCCTCGCGCACTTTCTTTCCAAACCTCTCTCCCTCTCTGACCACAGACGTTAACATTAGTCACCGTAATTCCCTATACTATAGGAAAATATGCCTTCAGTGCTTTATTCTGGGCCATCACTGCACAATGGTTGAAATGCACTTAGCTCAAGTCTATAAAAAGGAATGAGCAGAAGAAGAAATACTAAAGTATTCACAACTGGAGGATAAACCTCTTCCTTTTCAGCATACTGCAAATTGTCCCGTCTTGAACTATCAACAATAAATGAAACCTAAAACCCACACACACAGACACACTCATATTACAAAAGATGGGTAAGTGAAACAGGACTACCCTGCCGCTGGAGAGCAAGATGACGCACACTAAATTCCTCAGACAGCACAACAAAGTGTAGCCGCCCCTAACCTTGCCTCCACTATCAAATCTTTCCTCTCTACACCTATACATCTCCTTTATTGCCTCAATATATATTTCAGCAAGTCAGGGTGTCCGTAAATGCATCAAAACTGAAGCAGAATCAACCTCCTTAAAATGTCAACTCACAAGGATGCTCTCCATCATTCTCACACACAGCTGTCCTTACCCGAGAGCGGACACAGTTCTTTCTGGAGGCTTCTCTGAGCCGAGCCCAGGACACGCTGCGGTTGGGACTGCTGAGCCCCAGTTCCACCTCTCCCCAGTAGGCTCTGGCTAAAAGCTGGAACCAAAGACAGTACGGTTCCGACAGGCAGCCGTCCAGCCCGGCCAGCCGAGCCCAGGGACAACCTCCAGAGGATGGGGAAGAAGAGAGGGAGCAGCAGCCTTCTGCGCTCACGTCTACATCCCGAAGGTCCGGGTGGTCCTTCAGAGGAACCGGCTTACAGCCTGAAGGTAGCCCGTTCCTCTGGGCCAGCATGGCATAGCCAGGGTTAAGGTGGTCAGCTCAAATGGCAGGAAAGATATACTAAATGATCTAGTTTCAATTTCTTGTGTCCATTTTCCACCCTCTTCCTCCCGCGGTCCGTCTCTAACTGTCTATTCTGTCCTCAGTTTTGGAAGCAGGGCTGTTCTTCGGGGCGTCCCACAGACACATGATGTTTCCACTCAGCCGAGAGGAGAGCACAGCGGCTGAGTGCACTGCAGAGAGCCGGGGCCGACTGACTGACGCACCCACCCACTCACCACACAAAATTCTCTCTGAAGTACGCACACACACACACACGTTCACATGCGCACACCAGGCGGCCTGAAATGAATGCTCTTCCCTTCCTGTCTCCTCCATCCCTCTCTCTCTTCAACTCACGTCTTCCGATGTCAACCCTTTAAAAGTTAAAGTGCACACGCCAACACTAGACTCACGTGTCGAGGCTAATCAATAAATGATGAGAACAAATGAAAGTTAAATATGACGTACAGTGAAAAAAGTTTGTTATCGTAGGAAGCACAAGGAGCATATTGTCGTTATCTGTCAGGAGACGGGAATAACTCGGATTGTTTTTTCAGGCTGTGGAAGAAGTCAAGTGGGGCTAATACAGATAAGGAAGCATATGGGTTCTGTGAAATCTATAGGGCACAAAAATGCACAGCCGACCCACCCACCTCTGCATGCCGGCTGCAGATCATCTGGTGACTACAAAGACTCGTGTCTGGGTGGCAGGCTTTGGAGACAAAGAGACTACCAGCCGTTGCACACACACAGTAACTCCTGTTTATCTATGTATGTGTTTATTTAACAGGGCCCATGTGTATTAACACATGTTACATAAGGATAAGCAATGCAACATATGTAATGTTTATAGGTTGTCTAGTCAAAGGAAGTGTGCAACCCAAGCCCCAGGTAGGGCTTTCAACCCATTTTTGCAATATTTAAAGCAAAGGTTTAGCTCGATTTACATACACCAAATACAAAAGACAGATGTTGGAATAAGGTTGTATGGTAAACATTTCAGGGAACATTTCTTTCTTTGGGTGCCAGGGGATTGTACCTGCTTGTTAACCAATTTGATTTATAGTACTTTTGTATCAATGTGATGAAGATTTTGAAGGATTTCATTTAATAGATAAGGACCGCACCAACCTAGATGTTTCCACATATGTTGCCTGATAAGACCTTTTTCCCAAGATTATCTGGACTGACAGCGCCCTTACTATTTAGGGCGGGACAATTGAACCCTTATCATTTGTTATAAGTGCATAGAGTTTGATTGATCCCTTATTTCACAGCATAGCTCCATTCAACTTTAAACTTACTTCTGAGGTCAAGTCACGACACGTTTTGACTAAATTAAAACATTTAGTTTTATATTATATTGTTTTATTTGTCACCAACGATTATCTAGCTTCACCGACAAGTTATTTTAACGAAAGTTCTGTTAGAAACAAGCTCTCAAATCTATACTAGTTGTGTGAAATGCTGACTGGGACAAATCTAGACACCTGTCCCAAATCCTAAAATTGAAATGGTTAAAATGTCCAAAATTGTCTAAAATGATCTTGACTATGAGTGATCCCGACATTCTCACCGAAAACAATCTGGTCTGAGTTACAGCCTCATCTTAGCTCAACCACTCACTACCACCAATTCTCACTTCACACTTATCATGTAAGAATTAGGCAAGATGATGGATGCTATATCTTCTCAATCCTTCAAGGTAAACAAACTCCACAGAGGCTTGGCAACTGCCTTTATTTCAGGAGCAGGGAGACTTTTGGATGCAGGATAGACTTAGCCCTGATACCTTTTAGTAAGTCGCTCTGGTAGAATGTGGGGCCAAAACATCAACTTAATATTTAATCACATGTTCATCTTATGGCTCTCTGGAGCTTGTGTGCTGCTCCAACAGAAACATCAGATTGCCTGTTGTAAATGTTGAATAAGTCTTCATAACATTGCATGAGGACATTGGGTCCTTCTTTTTGAATTCCCCCACTATGTCTCCAGGCTTTATTGTTCAGATTGTCCTAAAATTATAGGCTTACCAGTTCACTTTCAAAAATATATAATAAAGAGTCTGTCAACAGTGAGCATGGTTTTTATGGTCGCTTTGGATAAGATTGTTTGCCGAGTGGCCGAAACATAAATATCAGTTTATTTTGATTGGGAGGAATATTTGCCATCCGAGACGGCGGCGACCATGAAAACAACATCAGGAACCCAGTGGTGGAATGTTCCCTCTCAGCGATTTGTTATGAGCATCTTGTTACCACATTCACTTGGCTCAATATAGCATGTGGCATTCTGTATGGAAAAGGCAGCAGAAATAGAAGTCACCAAACAGTCGGTTGAGACAGTTGACTTAAGCAAGCCAAAACAAGGATTAAGTCTCATAAGAATGGTAGAACTGGATAGTTGGCTGCATATATGAAAGTTCATTTCTGAAAAAGCTATTTTTTTTATATAAGCATTACAAGCCCACATCACCACTAGAGGTACAACTTCACAGTACAGTACTTTTTACCTCCACTTATACCTTTCGGACCATAGGGTTTCAAGCCAGATCATATATGTCTCTACATGTCTTTCTGTGAATCTAAAACACATGACAAAAGAAAAAAAAAGATCCCTGTATGGAATTCCTGTTTGCTAGGAAGTGGATTTGGTGCCATGCAGACACAAAAACTAGACATGCCGCCCAGAAATATTGTGTCGTTGTCATGGCAATGAACTACACCACAACAATGTTGGCCACTGGACTGGGGTGTTCTCAGTGGGCGCTCATGGGATTTCTTGGTTTTTCTGTGTCTGTGTTTGTGTATGGATCATTGTGCCTAAGGGCGTCATGAAAGACAGTAAATAGTGTGGAGGTGATTTGAGTGACGTTGAAAACAACGCTTGTTGATAGGCTTGATGTGCAAAAGTAAAACGATGGATTAATGTGTACAGTATGTGTACTGGATTCAACTGTGCCCTCTTGGTCTTACTCATGAGTAAGGGTCAGACTGACACAGCTTAAAGTATAATTCTGCTCAACTCCTGGATTGTGGTTGCAAAGTAAAGTAAGCAGAAGAGTCATGTTCTGGCATATTAAGGAATGACTGTAAACAATCAAAGGGCTTTGTTTATAGAGACATGTAATGGGAATATTCAATTGGAGGCCTAGCTGAACACAAAAAGAGAAACAAGAATGTTCAAAATGTTCCAAAAAGATTGCGCACCCTGATCATTTTATATTGTCTTGTAGAACTGTGGAGCTAATAACTACAGCCTAGTCACCCTATACATTGTGAGAAGATGATGGCATCCCAAAAAGGTTATAGCACCAAGAAGCATTCTAGAGGGATTGAAATAAAAAGTCTGCCAGATGTTGAAGAGGTGTGAATGCATCCATCTCTAATGTGACACACATGTATCTTTTTACTTTATGTATCTGTATGTCAGTAAGCGAACTGTGGAAATATCCACCAGTTGTCAGGATAAATCCACCCTTGTAATATAGCAACGCAATTTTATACATATCAACACAAATTTCCAAGAGCACAGAGACATCCTAGAAAAACCCTGTTGTGGCTTTCTTCAAACAATGCACTAGTTCCCTTTGATATGAAACAGAGAAAAGCAGTGAAGTTTATGGGTTGACGGCCATGACATGTTCAAACACACAATAAAGTGGCCACAGCTCTCTAACATCAGCTAGATAAGTGCTTTGAAGAACTGTAGGACATAACACAAAGGTGAAAATTGGAACAACGTTGTCCATCCTATAAAAGCTAAAAATAACAAACAATACCAGTGTTGGACAGTTGATAAGATCAGCGTGGCCTCAGACGCTTGTGAAATTCTCCGAGTGGGTGATGAGGGCGGTGCCACGAATAACAGACCAAGAGACGGAAGGTTTGCTTATGTATTTGTTGTAACATTTAAAGGTCTCAGTCGCTCTCTTTGCAGCGCAACCACTCGAGGCTGCTGGACAGTGCAATTTGGTCTTGTAGTCCCCCTGCTGATAATTCTGCTAATGTCTTTGTGGCTCCACACAACATGACACGCAGAGCCAAAGACAACATCCCGACTGCAGCTGTGGTGAAATAAAGACAAGGATGGAGAAATCGACAAGCTTTTTAAAAACTGCTGCGGAGTTGCTGAGACCACTCATGAGTTTTTAAGATGGAAAACTCCCCGCAGAAAATCTTTAAAATCCAAATGCTGAAAGTCAAAGTTGTGTTCCCCCGTGATGTGAAACCCATTTCAGATGTTTACATTTGTGGAGAAAACAACATAATGAAAACCAGGTTGTTTCAAGATGCCGTTTCATTGTAATCCACTCAAATCTTGGAGTCTAGGATTTATTAGATGATTATCTGCAGCTCTGATTTGTGTAACAAAGGAGGAGAAAAAAAAAGGCCTGTGGTCTGAAAGCAGCTGACAGGATCTCTGGACCGGGATTAAAGACACAAGGCACCGACAGGGCTCAAACAACTACAATAAGTCATTTTGAAGTCTCGAATCGGAGCTTGTGTGTAACCAACTTTTTGTGTGTGTGTCTGTGTGTGGTACAGAGAGCAAGAAGAAAAGAGAAAGTCTTGCAGGAGGATTAGGCTCGATTCGCGGTGGCTTTTCAGGACTCCTGGCGGGTGTGAGATCTAATCTGGACATGCTGCATCTGGGCTCCGCGAGGTATGGCTTACTGTAACAAAGGACTAGCTAATGAGGGCCGGGGAACAGACTGCTTCCTCTATGCCCCCACACCACTGCACACCCACAATGCCCTGCTTCATACAGCCCTGAGGGGGTACAGAGGGGTACCAA